AAAGACTAATATACAATTTTTTCCTGTTAAAGGCTAATCCTTCGTTTATTCATAGCAAACTTATTGAATGCATATCTTGATGTTAAAATTTCTTTAGATTACATTCATTTTCTTTGTCTTGCCTCTTTCTCTCTCTTCCTCTGTCGCCATGTCTCTGCTCGTCTCCTCCCACATCTCATCTTGCGAGTTTTCCACACTATAGATTTAGGTGGTCCTCCTTTTCACACAATATTGGTTCTTTGATGTTCAAATTTCTTCCTTCTTTTCCCTCCTCCTCCTTTCTTTTCTTCTTCTTTCCATTTCCTCCCTTCTTCTTCCTTCTCTTCCCCCCTCTTTGATTTGTTGAAGGAGAACCCAAATCTAGGTTCTCCTTGAGAAGGGTTCTCAAGGAGAACCTAGATGGGGTTTTCTTAGAGAGCCCAAATTTGGATTCTCAAACTTGGAGATGGATAATAAAGGAGAGAGAAGGAAAAGGAAAGAGGAAGAAGATAATGAATTTTTATAAATTTTTGTTAGAATTTTTACAATTTTGATAAGAAGTTATTGTGCATCAGCTTGACATGAATAATTTTAGGTGGACAAAAACCTTAAACAATGTGGTTTGCATTCTTAGATCTAGGTTGTACGAATTGTAATTGCCGTCAGGTCAAAATAGCACCCAACATAGCTCCAGCGAGTAGCAGTGCATGGCGACTTGGATTGCAGCCAGATTGTGATAGTCAAGTTGTCAACCTTCACTAAGTAATTTTTCAACATCCAATCTCAAATACGACGAGGAAACATAAAAGTTCCGCTACTAGAAAATCACATGGTGGGCTAGAAATATCACCTGCAGGTTGCCTCTGGTTGTTTGCAGGTAGCATGAGGGTGGGATCAGTCAGAGTATAGGGACAAAGAACCATGTTGAGAGGATTAAGGGAAGAAGAAAGGTAAAAAAAAAAAAAAATAAGAAAGAAAAAGGAAGAAGAAGAAGAAGAAGAAGAAGAAGAAGAAGAAGAAGAGAGGATTAAGGGAAGAAGAAAGATAAAAAAAAAAAAAAAAAAAA